GCGGGCGCCGGCGGGAGACCCCCCGCGCCAGCCACGCTCGCCTCTCGCCCCGGATGATGCAGCAACTTGTCAGGCCTCTCCGGCCGGAAAGCTTGGCAAACGACTCAGATATCCCGGGGAAAACCAGCTTGCTTTCCCCTTGCCTTCCGCCGTGTGCCTTCTTTTTAGGCCAGCCCTGGTTCTTGAGCCAGGCGGCTGCTGAGCTCATCACGGCAGCTGACAGCGGTGCTGCTGGGGACACCCAGAGAGGGGCTTGGTGCGTTGGGGGTTTGATAGCAGAGCCTGGAACCCGGCTCCGTGTTGGGTCTGACCGGTGCGGGTGATGGCAGACACAAACCCAGCTCCATGTTGGGTCTGACTGGTGCAGGTGACAGCAGGTACAAACCCAGCTCCGCGGTGGGTCTGACTGGTGCAGGTGCCAGGCGGTCCACACCTCCACGTTGGGTCTGACTCGTGTGGGTGATGGCAGACACAAACCCAGCTCCACGTTGGGTCTGACTCGTGCGGGTGATGGCAGATACTGGCACGCACACGGGATTCCACCCATCAGCTGCCTGGGGAAGAGGGGTTAGAAAACAGGAGGAAGCTACGCGAACTTCCCTGTGCTTTCGTGACTCATGAAAAAAAACCCCTCCAACTGTCTCTGTCAACAGCCCATCTGTTTGGGTATTTTCAAGGAATCTGGAATGCATTCTGGGAGCTCTCCCATGAGAAAAAGTAAACATGTCATATATAAAACACTTTTATTAAAACAAATATACAACGCTTTATATACAAAAATAAAATGTACAAGAAAATAGTCTATTACAGCTTAGTGATTCGATTCCTACCTATTACACGCAAAGGAGGACCTCTTCCACCCCGCGCTCTCCTGCACCGCAGGCATCTGGGAGAGGGAGAGCAGGGGTCCCGGCCAGGCACGCTACGAAGAGAGAGCTCTGCCCCCATCAGTGCAAACATCGTTCCAGGCAGCAGCTCTTCAACGGGGACGTGGAAACGGACAGGGCACGCCTCGGAGCGGGTGACATCCTACGCGGGGACCGGGGTAACTGTACTACGTGGAAGCAAAGTCTAAACTGAATTTTCACATTTTATTGGTCTAAACTATTTACAGAGTTTAAAGTTGAAAGAGCTGAAAGACGAACTATGTGATGGAGTAAATCAAAAGAAGAGTCGGCCAATTAGTGCAATTTTTCCTGACTAGGTGTAATGACAGTCGTTGAGCTCAAATGTCGCCAGTGTCGCACAGGTAAGCAGCAACCAAAACTAATAGTGACGAGACTCGTCTGCAGCGTCTCCCCCCAGCACCCCGCGGGTAAAGTGCTCGGCGCGGGAGGGCAGCTCAGCGGCTCCCCCCCGGCTCCGACCCCGCCGCCCAATAATGGAGTTTTTCTTGCTAACATTTTCAGGCCTAAAACGGAATATAAAAGCTACTTTCCTCGTGCAGTCAGTAACAAACAGTTTCCTCCCTTCTCTTCAGGCTTGTCAAAGTTCCCACCCAAGCGCAGTTCGTGGTCAGAGGAAGCCGGGGCTTTACAAGCCACAGGGGATGACTTGCATGGTAGGTCTCACTGTGTCCAGCCAGGAGAAGTCTAGGGTGCTTTTCTGGTCAAAGAACCTGAACTCCAGCTCTCCTAGACAAAGTAAAACAAGAATGAGTACGGAATCGCACGCAGCAAGAGCAAAGTACTGTATATATGTCTGTGTGTGTATACATATATATAAAAAAATCAAAAATGGAAAAATCTCAGATGTGAGTAAATGCCTTAGACTAATATTTTGCTAAAACACTCTAAACAGCCTCTATTAAACAGGTCCATTGAAGCTATTGCTAGTGGAAGCTCTGCAGTTACATTGCAAGGGGCTCCTGAAAGCTGGCACAGTTACACACGTATAACCCCAAGACAAATCTGTAGTGTGCTCCTACTGGAGGCATTTTTCTCCTTTTCCTTTTCTGAACACGTTCCTTACAGCCTTCTGACAGGCTACTTGGAAATCTCAGGATACAGGGATGCGTGAATTCCTCTGCTGCCTTTGCTCCCTCCCAATTAGCATCTGCCAGGGACACCCTCGTCTGCCTCGTCCGTGGAACAGGGGACAGCCGAGGCGCCGGTACCTGAAGTCGTGTCGATCTCCCCATCCTGCTCCTTGTAGCTGTAAGCGCCGCACAGGGTCTGCGCGCCGGGCTCGTTGGTGAGGAAGCCTTTCCCCCCGACGCTGGTGGCATGCCAGTCTTGGGCTGGTTCCAGCAGCTGCAGGAGAACAAGGAGGTGGTAAGAACGGCCCCATCTTTCCGCGGGCGCAGTGCTTTATTCCTTTCTCTTCGTTAGAAGACAGGCAAGCAAAAAAGGGCAAGTTACATCTTCTCGTGCTAAATGATACAAAACTTGTTTTACCCCCAGTTAAAAAACAAAATTAATGCCAAACAGGGAGGGCTGGAGCACCTTCGGTGCTGGACCCCCCCCTTATCAGTGGGATGAGCACGACACGTCTGGAAGCGCAGATTAAGCGCCATACATGTCGGAGGTGGAGGGGAAGGGCCAAATAAAAAAGTCTAGAGAGGCTTTGCAGACTCTAACAGAGCAACCTTTGCTTCTAGCAGTACTCGACAGCTTGCTCCGACTTTCACACGGAGAGGGAACGTTTCCATGGAGGTGTTTCCAGCCTGTGCTTGCAAAGAGGCCGCCTTTTCATATTTAATCTTTCAGGCTTCCTCATTAAGCAGGGGTCCTGGACTGCACGTGCACACTCAGCTTGTACAGGGCTGGCTCAAGTAGCTGCTTCCCGTCCCGTCTTGGTACAAACTGCAACTTTGGCCAATTCTATTCTGACCAGAAGGGCTGCTTTTACCTTAAAAATCTCCGAATTCATTTCCTCTTCGTCTTCATCCGTGACTGTTTTGTAAACACACAGAAAAAGAGAAGAGACCTCGATGTCAGCTTCTCGCACGTTAGCCCTCGCGCTTCTGCTTCCTCGCCACGCAACCCGCTTCGCGCTCTCTTGTCACACGACACCACCACCTCGTCGCTCTTCTCCACGCGGGTGACACCGAGGAGGGGCTCAGAGGCCCACGCGTGGCTCCGTGCCCCAAACTCCCTACAGCCCTTCGTCTCGGATGCTCTTCAGCAACCGTGCGCTGGGGCGCGGGGCTCCCGCCGGCTCCAACGCCTTTGGCCAAGCAGAGCCCGCTGGGTGGGCAGGAGGAAGATGATTTGCACCCCAACAGAGGAAGAACCTCTCTGCTAGATCCATGTTAATTAATTTTTTTTCCCCAGTGGGAAGTGCGGTTACCTCCGCTGTCACTACTGTGCCTAACTCTGTCCTGCTTCTGGCATCGCCCCCTTCCAGCCGCCTCGGGAACCCCCAGTCCCACCCTCACAAATCTCTTCTCTGCAGCCTGGCCCATCCATGCCATCGTGTCGAGCCTGCGAGACGAAGCCTGTCCCACATGGGCAAAGTCAATGGCGTTTCAGAGCCCTCCACCCACGAGCAACTCCTTCTGCAGGTGGCACTGCCCTTCCATAAGCTGGCCAGTCTGGCAGCTCCAGACCTCCAAACCCATCAGGTTTGTCCATCAAGACAACTTGTGTTTCTCCTGACCCCCCCAAGCACCCCTTCATCCCACCACCTGGCCTCCAACCAACAGACCGATGAGAGGCCAGGCTAGGAACACAGAACTGCCCACCTTCCGAGGACGAAGCCAGGGGAGACACCTGGAGCTGGTAGAGGTCGTTGGTGCTGTCAGCCATGGTGATCTCCATCGGCGGCCTCCAGTCGCTCAGGGAGCCGCTCACCTCGCACGGGGACAGGTCTGCGGGATGCACCGGGAGGAGTTGGCACTCGCAGGAGAGACACAACCTCCTCCATTTCCTGCCCGCCCGCCGGCCCAGCCCCAAGAGTCGTCTTCTGGCTCCGAGCTTGTGGGTTTAGCGCGAAGG